ATTATCCTTTTGATGTCTTTGAGACCGTAATAATATCCTATTTCATTCCTGATGTTGGTAATTTTTGTCTTCTCTCCTTTTCATTGTGTCAGTTTGTTAGAGACTTGTCAGTTTAATGACAGAGAACTGGTATTCAAAGAACTGGTGCTTTGTTTCATTGATTTTTCTCTGTTATTCTGTTTTTTATTTTACTGATGTCTGCTCTTATTTACTTTCTCCTGCTTGCTTTGTGTTTATTTTGCTCTTATTTTCCCTAGAGTCTAAAAGTGTGCGCTTAGATTTTTGATTTGAGCCTTATTCTCTTTTCTAATGTTTTCATTTAGTGCTATAAATTTCTTTGCACTGCTTTATTTGTATCTCACTAATTTTGATATGTTTGTTGTATTTTCATTTTATTTAGTTCAGTGTATTTTTTGGTATCCATTGAGACTCTCACCTATGAATTATTTAGGAGTTTGCTGTTTAGTTTCTAAGTGTTTGGAAATTTTGTATTTATCTTTCTGTTTTTGATTTCTAGTTTGATTCTACTGTGGTCAGAGAATACAGTCTGTATGATTTCAGTTATTTTTAATCTGTTGAGGATTGCTTTATGGCTGAGGATATGGTCACTTTAGTTTATTTTCCATGGGCACTTGAAAAGAATGGGTATTCTCTTGTCATTGAGTGGAATATTCCATTAATGTCAACTAGATCCTGTTGGTTGATGGTGTTGAATTCTGTATGTTTGCTGATATTCTGTCTGGTTTTTCTGTCAGTTGCTGAGAAGAGGGATGTAAATCTTTGACTATAATTATGGGTTTGTTTATTTCTCTTTTCAGTTCTAGTTTTACATGCTTTTCAGCTCTGTTGTTTGGTAGACACAGGATTACTTAGGATTGTTTAGGATTGTTACATTTACCTGATAAATCTCCCCTTTTATCTTTAGGTATGATCCTCACTGTTCTGATCATTTTCTTTGCTCTTAAGCCTACATTAGCTGATATTAATAGGCAGCTCCTTTCTTTTGATTGATGTTCCTGTGATATGTCACTTTCCATTCTTTTCCTTTGAACCTGCCTATATTATTAAATTTGAAGTTAGTTTCTTCTAGACAGCATATAGTTGGGTCAAGTTTTTTTGTTTTTGTCCACTCTGTCCATCTCTGTCTTCTAATTGGTGTATTTAGATCACTTATATTTTGTGTAATTATTGATGTGTTTGGGCTTAAATCTACTCTGTATTTTACAGTTCAGAAGTTTTCACTTGGTTCTTACACAGTAGTCTCCCTTATCTATGGTTTCACTTTCCATGGTCAACTGCTGTCCAAAAATATTAAATGGAAAATTCCCAAAGTAAACAATTTGTAAGTTTTAAATTGTACACCGTTCTGAGTAGTGTTATGAAATCTCATCCTGTCCCATCCGGGACGTGAATCATCCCATTGTCCAGTGTATCCACACTGTATATGTTATCCACCCGTTAGTCATTTATTAGCATCTTGGTCATCAGATTGATTTTCAGGGCATTGCAGTGCTTGTATTCAGATAACCCTTATTTTACTTAATAATGGCTCCAAAGCATAATAGTAGTGATGCTGGCAATTTGGATATGCCAAAGAAAAGAGTGCTTCAAGTGAAAAGGTGATAATTCTCAACTTAATAAGGGAAGTAAAAAATTGTGTGCTGAGACTGCTAATATCTGCAGTAAGAATGAATTATCTATTTGTGAAATTGTGAAGAAGGAAAAAGAAATTTGTGCATAGTATATTTAGGGTTTGAGACTATCCTCAGTTTTCAGTTGTCCACTGGGTGTCTTGGAAATTATCCCCATGAATAAGGGGGGACTACTATAATCTTTCCTTAGACTTTCTCTCTTTTTTGCTGATACTTTTTATTTTTTCATTTGTTCTTTGTGTTCTTAAATTGTTTGTTGAAGAATTTTTATCATAGCTGCTTTAAAATCAGTGTCAGATAATTCTAAACATCTCTATCATTTTGGTGTTTGCATCTATTGATTGTCTTTCTGTATTCCGTTTGGTTCTTGGTATAAATGATTTTTTTTAATTGAAACCTGGACATTTGGGGTATTAGAAAACTCTGAATCTTACTTAAGCCTTCTGTTTTACCTAGCTTCCTCTAATGCCACTATGACAGGAGAAACAGACTGCTGCCTTATTACTGCCAGGTGCAGGTAGAAATTAATTTCCATTCTGTGTCCACTGATATCCCAGAAGGGATGCTCCTTTTTATTGCTGGGCAGGGGTGAGAGTTCTGGGTCCCCACTAGGCCTCCACTGATAGCTTCTTGTATGAAAGGGGTAGGAGTGACTTGTTATTAATTTTTTACACAGCCTCCACAGACAACACTGGGGTGGTGGCCTTGTTATCACTGATTGATGGTGAAAGCCCTGACTCTTCACCAGGCCTCCATATACCACCCCAGGGCAGAGGGAGATTGGCTGCACATTGCTACCTGGTGGGAGTGGAATTTCATTTTCCCCATGTGGTTTCCACCAACACTGCAGGAATTGAGAGAGGGACCTTGTTGTATCCTGGTGAGGGTGGACATTATAGATCCCCCATTCGGTCTTTGCTGGCATTGGGGGAAGTTGGGCCACAGATTTTTGTTGATGATTGATAAGAGTGTTCGTTTTCTGAAAGTTTTCTGTCTCACTAGGCTGCTCCTTTTCTGGTCTTTTAGCTAGAAAAAGAGCAGGCTTTCTATTGGGGCTTTTTTGCCTGCCCTTCTTGATGTTTCTGGTATGCTGGTTTCTTCAGCTCCAAGTCTGGAATATATGAGACCAAAAGAAACCCAGGGAACTCATCACCATGTCATTCCTCACATCTCCACCTTTCAGAGTATTCTTATGTTTGTTTTATATTTGATGTCTGGGGATTTTAGCTGTACTTAGCGGGAGAGAGAGACACAGAGAGAAAGAATGCTTACTCCATCTAACAAGAAGCAGAAGATATTTCTTTTATCACTTAAAAAGGAAAAAAAAAGAAAAACTCTCTGACCACCCACCCCCCCACCCCACCCCCGCCCCGGCCAAATTAGTGCTTCTTTTCTCTGTGCCAGTTTAGAACCAGACTGTTTGGAAGTGTTTATCTGTATTTATTTTTTCCCCCAGTTCCTCTCTTCTCATTGTCTCAACCCTATTCCATTAAGATTTTTATCTCTACCACTCCTCTAAAACAACCTCCTGTCAAGATGTCATTTATAAGTGAATAATAAAAGCAGTATACTTGTCAAAAGTTGTGGTTATAGCTGAAGTTTTTTAAGATGGAAATATATATCCTTAAATTCTATATTAAATGAATTAAATTCTGGCGAGATTGGTCAAGAAAAACAACAAAAAAACAAAAATAATGTTAATGTATATTAGAAAACATTATAAATAATTCTAATCAACATATTTTTAAAAGTTATATGTGAAACAATCTACCAGAAAAGTTTAAATGATCAAAAACAGAACAGAAAGAAATAGAAAATCTAAATGGTCCTATAGCTATTAAAAATGTTGATCTAGTGTTTAAAAGTCTTCCTTTTCTCTCAGTAAAACATCCCAGATGGTTTTTCATCTGAGTTTGGGCAAATGCTAATTCCAGGGTTACATAAACTTTTTCAGATAACACAAAAAAGGTAATGATCCTTATTTCATTTTCTGAGGCTTATACCATAAGCTTATTATAAAAATTAGCAAAGAGAGTGTATGAGAATGAAATTTACATGCCAGTCTCATTTTAGAATATAGAAGAAAAAAAATCTAGCAATGTGTAAAATAGGTAACATGACCAAATTTGATTTATTCCAGGAATGTAAGGTTTAATTAACATTAGCGATTTATCCAAAATGTTTACACCTTAATAAAATAAGTTACTACACATCATGGACACTCACATCATTGATTGGTGTAGTGGAAGTCTTAGTTAAATCTGAGAATGTCAGGTGTCTGTAGTGCATGGTGAGTAATAAAATTCAAATTTTAATGGAATAGTGTGGGTCACAGTAGATGGCACAACTAATTTGATTGAGAGCAGTCAGATGGTCTTTCAGAGATGGCAAAATGTGTTAGGTCTTGATGAGTAATACTTTGTCAGAATATTGAAGAGAACAGCATTTCAAGTAGAGGAAATACATGTGCTAAAGCGTTTATATGTGTGGCATTTGGGAATGGTAAGTGAAATATAATTAGAGGATGGTAAAGATATTAGGAAGTAGCAAGAGATGAGACTGGAGATTTGTGCCAAATTGTGAAAGGCCTTTTCTGCCTTGCTTCTTGCTAAGTAGTAGAATTTATTAACCCAGTGAGAGTGAGAAAGCCAGTAAAGGTTTTTGAGCATTCCATCTATTTAGTTGCCTATATTTAATGTCTTGTCTTTAGAAGTAACATGTGTAACTCGTTGTTTGCATGCTTTGGCATATGTACCCTACTTGAAGTTAGGTGCATCCATTGATTGACCTTGACTTTTTGTTCTCTAAAAATGTAGGAATCTGGATTTATAACTGGACCACTTAATATATGTATTAATTTCCTCTGTGTTATAGCCTAAACTTTTAAAAACCGTTCATGGCTAATCTCTCACCAAACTGTTGCCTATGAACTTTCCAAAGAAATATGTGACCGTGGTCTGATTAATTTTATTTGCTCTGTCACTGTTTTTTAGCTTTATATGTGATAAGAGCATGTTTTAATACATCTCTTTTTAAGAGATATTTGTGATTTTATTAGAATTTTTTATTAAGTTTTTTAATTAATTTATTTTTTAGGAAAAGTTATAGGATTGAATTTTCACTGATTGTCAGATTTTTTTCTTTTTTTCCCTTTTTTCTTCTTTTATTGCATAGGTAGATAGAAGGCAACAAGTTTGTTTCTCTAAATTTATGAATCAGAGAATTTTAAACCTGAATTAACTTCATAAACGCACTCACTTTTTTCTTAATGCATTCCTTCTTCCCTCAAAGATGCTTTTATTTATTTTCTTGATTATATAATGTTTGATATATTTTTTTTAATTTAAGGTGTGACTGCACAGAAAAATTACAGAATAAATTTGACTTTTTGCGCTCACAGCTGAATGATATTTCGTCGTTTAAGAATATCTACAGATATGCCTTTGATTTTGCAAGGGTAGGTGCACTTTTCACGTTTAGTTATTTTAATAGTTTTTCATCTTGAGGCCACACTTAGGAAAATTTTTTCACTTATGTTTTAGGATAAAGATCAGAGAAGCCTCGATATTGATACTGCTAAGTCTATGTTAGCTCTTCTGCTTGGGAGGACATGGCCACTGTTCTCAGTATTTTACCAGTACCTGGAGGTATGCATGTGTTTTTATTTTGAAAATACTATTTTAAAACTTAATCTGAATGAAAATGTACTTTTAATTGAAGAAAAGACAGTAGATTTTTAATGCTGCATTTTTAAAAAATCTGCATAGTGAAACAATTCTGTTAAAATGTGTATTGTGTATGTATCTGTTGTCATTGTTAGATACAAGTTCGTGTTCATTAATATATTCTGTACATAAGATTTCCCTCCCTGCAAAAAAAAAAAAAAAGAAACATCCAAAAATATATTTTAGCGTAGACATTCTCATGCAAATTAGTTTATTGGGCTTTTGGCAAGAGATAATTGATGCTAGCACACAAATTTAGTTTCCTTCTGTTATACAGAGTCTTAGGCTGAAATGCACATGAGAGAACCAACTGTAATAAAACTTGCCCTTTCTACTTAGGCTGATTGTATAGAAATAGAATAAAACTTTAAAAATTTTTGTCTACAAATATAAGAATGGCTATATATAATCGTACAAGGGCACTTCAAAAAGTTCATGGAAAAATAGAATTAAGAGATAATGTGAACCTTTCTGTGAACTTTTTGAATACCTATGCATACATGTATTGATTACTAAAAAAAGTATGCTGAATTAGAGAAGTGACTGTTCTTTTAGGTTTATCATAGCACCTACTATAGGCAATGGTTCCAAGAAAGTGTTATCCTTTTTTCCATTGCTTTCTTTGTCTAGCTTTAGATCTGTTTTTGTGCCTTTTTAATTTTAGGGGGGGTTTTTTGGTATAGTTCTCACCATTTTTTGAATACAGATACTCTTTCCTTTTGAAATAATTTCTCATAAAACCGATTGCTCATCATAACAGGTAGTTTTATTTAAAGCTTGTGATAAGAGACAAAGGTATAAAAAGGTCTTATGCGAATGAATTTTACGCACAATTAAATCTTTAAGCCCAATAAAGTACATACTTTGATGGATGGATCTACCTTTCTCCCATTAGTGGTTTTGCGTAAAAATAAATTTAAATGAATATAAAAATATTCACCTCTATGGGGAGCTGAGAAGAAGAACTAATTATTTTCAAACACTTGTTATGTGCACACTATTTGGCATAAGTTACCTTTTTTAATCTCTTTAACAGCGTTTTGAATTAAGTTTTATTCCCGTTTAGCCAGAAAATGGGTTCTGTTCTTAAGTAACTTTACCAAGGTCACTCAAGTTAGTGGCAGAGGTGATATTTGTTTTGTTTTGTTTTTTTAATTTAGAAAGAAAACAGAATTTATTGCTTATGGTTTTGGAGGCTAGGAAGTCCAAAGTCCAGGGAATACATCTGGTGAGAGTCTTAGTGGTGTCAACAGTTATACAGGGTATCACATTGTAAAATGGTGGAAGCAGAGAGAGAGCAGAGAATAACCTCCTCATTCACTCTCTTTTTAAAGCCCCCAGAACCACACCCCTGACCACCATTATTAATCCATTTACTACTGCAAGGTACTACAATCCAATCACTGCAGAGGTGATATTTGAACCCAAGCCTGTACTCTTTCTACGCTCCCCAAAGATGCCAGCCTCAATATGTGGCTAAGCACTGTCTCATGCAAAGAAATGATTTGCCAGGAAGCAGCACAAGGGAACTTACTGAATGTAGGAAATGTTCTATATCTCGATCATGGTGGTTGCACAAGTATGTACGTATGTAAAACTTCATTGAGTTTTATTCATACTAATAGTACCCTTGATGCTCTTATTATTCCTCAAACATGAGAGAATAATAAAGGGAAAAAAAAGAGGACGTAAATATGTAAGTGCTCTTGAGGATTCTCTTGGAAACACAAATAATTTAATTAAAAGAGGAATAAATGTTTTTGGAAAAATGAAATCCCCAAAATTTTAAAACTACATTTACTAAACTCAAGCCCTAATAAATAATGTTTGTTCTGTAATCCAATTATTTACATTATTTTCCACAGCAATCAAAGTATCGTGTTATGAACAAAGATCAGTGGTACAATGTATTAGAATTCAGCAGAACAGTCCATGCTGATCTTAGTAACTATGATGAAGATGGTGCTTGTAAGTATAATGTAACGTGTTTCTATGAAAATAAAGTTCCTAAAAATATTAAATGAGAGTATGCATTTGTGTAGTATTAGCATAAAGGTTTTAAACTTCCTAACAGTAGCTTTTATTATTTAATCATGTGGGGGAATAGGGGAGAGAGCTTAGATTGAGCATTGTTATAAAATATGTGCTGGTAACTGAAAAGCTTTCAATTCCTCAGTAACCAAAGATTGTGGCTAAATTTCAATTATAATTTTTGCATTTAGAAGCTAAATTTCTGCTTTCCTCTTGCCTTTCCTTGCATTTTTCTGTGGAAGAAAGGTGCAGTCATAATTTTAGAAATATGAAAGCAAAACAATCACTGCAATAGAAAAAGTTTTAAAGTTAGTATAGTACCCCACTAACAGTAATGACATATAATGTCAAAATAACTTCCCTCTGAAAATTATAGATTGATTCTGAGTAAACTGGTAGTGAAATATTTTTAATTTTTCAGTCCTTCAAATTAAAGTATCTGTCTATCCTGTTCAGGGGAAAAGCTAGGATGCCATAAAACAGAATTTTGAAGTAACAACAAATTAATTAGATAAGCCAATTAATTCTCCAGAACTATAAATTAGGTTTTCATTTCCCACCACCACTTTGGTTGCATGTGTTGTTTTAGTGTTCAGAAGGATTATATGGAAAGGTACATTCTTATAAATATAAACTGAAATTATTGTGCTTGCTCTACTGTTTTTCTCACACTAGAAAAATATGTCTATGAAAGCAAGAGAAAAAAAAGACCACCAGAGGGTTGTATGTTTTTACAAAATAGGACAAACATACAAGGGTACTTGAAAAAGTTTGTGGAAAATTAGAATTGAAAGATAATACAAGCCTTTAATCCATGAATTTTTTGAAGTTCCCTCATATTTCTTTGTAGCAATGATTTTTCCTACATTAAACAGAATAAACACTGAACTTATTTTACTTGCTTATCTGGCTTCTGTAGGTAAATGAGTTCAGACCTCTTGTGTTATAAAAATATCTTTTTAAGCATAGTACTTAGTTTATTAGTCAGGTATGCATTAGGCACTTGCTTTGTATTCAGCTTTGTATTACATCCTGTTACTGGAATAAAATAAGTCTGTAATATGGCCAGCTTCCCTCAGCAAGCTTACATAATTCTTGGGGAGGTAATACAGATATACTACTTCAAACACTTTTCAGATTGTTTAATAATTAAATGCCAGAATGTTATGGGCACTTAGAAAAAGGGAGAGATTAGTATTGACTCAGTTATTAGAGGGTTCATGAAACACATCTTGAGAATGAAGTTGTTCCTGATATTGTGAAAAGTCCTTTATGTCTTTAAGAGTGAAAAAGAAAAGGCTAAGAGAGCACCAATGGACAGAAGAGGGTGGTCAGAAGCAAAACACGTGAAGGAGGGAAGGGTCAGGCCCCTATCATTACAGAGGTTGTAGTGAGTTTATTTTATAGCTGGAAATATGAATTCATCGAATTCTAACACAAATTGTTTCTTTATTTCTAGGGCCTGTTCTTCTTGATGAATTTGTTGAGTGGCAAAAAGTCCGTCAAACATCATAGCAAGAACTATTGTGAAGAAAATGCAAACCTTTTGGTTTCCACGTGCATACAAGCTAATGAGATGAGGGGAAAAACATCGAAAGGCTGCATTTTCATTCATATGAAAGACTTCTCATAGTATTTTTTTTTCCTTTTTTTTAAAGGAGGGTTTCTTGTTACACGAAAATGCAAACCTTTTGGTTTCCACGTGCATACAAGCTAATGAGATGAGGGGAAAAACATCCAAAGGCTGCATTTTCATTCATATGAAAGACTTCTCATAGTATTTTTTTTTTCCTTTTTTTTAAAGGAGGGTTTCTTGTTACATGTGATGGGCATTGAGCCACGCCTCTTCTGAGACTGAATATTGAAGTTTTTATTTTGAGTTATGTTTATAACATTTCAGAACAATAAAGATTCAGATTTGTGACAAAGGCCTTAAAGTGAAGATGTCCCTTGAGTGTCAGAGTGGTATTTATTTTTCTAAATTTGAATTCTTGAATTTTTGAAGTCCTAATTCACTATGAATTAGTGTAATTTTAAGGATTTTAAAACAATCAATATCTGGCAGTGTGGTCTGCTGATGATATGGTTCATTATATTTATGTCTGCACATAATATTACGAAGAATATTGGCCTTGATTTCTAGGATAATGATTTTCTGATGTAGCTAATAAAAAACATTTCTAGATATTGGAAGTACTCCCACTTTCAGCTCTGGGTTTTTATCATAGCTGCCAAGGTCTTATGCATGTATCTCATCTGAAGAGTTTAGAATTGGACAGATTATATCCAGTTATTTTATTTTCTAGTCATTAAATAGTATTGCCAATAAGCATAATGGAGCATTGCATGTATATTCTTAATGTGAATTTTAAGTTTCTGTATTTCTGTTAGTTAAAAAGTTCTGTTTATATTTGAAAGAGCAAGGTTAATATATTAATGGTCTCAAAATCAGTCTTGTGAGAGGACCAATATTGAAGTATCATCATCAATATTATTATTGTCATATTATTATTTTTTTAACTGTCATGATATAGGGAATTTCTTGAGAGCACTATTTTTGCCTTAAGAGAACTTTAGCTCTGATATTATAGATTTAGCTAAGATACACATAGGAAAAGAAAATAATAGAATAAGCAATCATGAAAGAACTCTGGGTATAATTATGCACAACTCAACAGAGTCGTTTAGATTGGTAGTTCACAGTATTGCAGATTATCACAATTTTCTGATTGTTGCCAATAAAGTGTCTTGAGGAAATGGCAGCCTTTCCTAATTCACGTAAAAGGCACCTTTCAGACTAGCAGAAGGTTAGTTTGTATATTCCTTTTCAAACAATCCAGTGTCCCAGTGATGAAAACTATTCACGTTCACAGTCAACTCACAACTTTAACAACATTCCTAGTTTCATTGTATGAATGGAGAGAAGAATAGATTATTTTTCCATATTAAGAAAATTTCTTTTGAGATTTAAGGTAAGGGTTGAGTTTTGATAGTGAATTTGTTTAATAAGTGATTTTTCAGTATTGATTACTTAAGGGAGAATGGCATATTAAAGCTTTTTATTGTTTGCTTTTTGGTTAATGATCTGGTAGAAAATGATTGCCAGTGATTTACTTGACTTTTTAGTAAGATTACTTTGTACAGTTTTGTAAAACACTGATACAGTAGTGGGAAACTATTCTTTTTGGTTTGAGGGGTTTTTTTGGCGGCTGGCCAGTATGGGGATCCAAACCCTTGACCTTGGTGTTATAACACCGTGCTCTAATCAAGTGAGCCAACTGGCCAGCCCAGTTTTTTTTTTTTAAATGTCTTGTAGATAAGAATAATTTTCCTGGAATGCTCCTCTTAAGTATTAGGGTCACTGAATTATTAGAACTGAGTATACCAACAGTGTAATGATTTTTAATATCATGAATGATGTTTTAGTATCGAATTTATTATAAGGAACGAATTTAAATTTTCAGACCTTTGAATTTATAACTTAATTGACTCATCTCTCAAAGGCACACCTTCTGAACTTGAAAAATATTGTCCATTTTTGTTTAATACCAAAACATAATTTAAGTGAAATCTTATAAGTTGTCAGTATGTAACTTGAACAAAATATCTTTGTCATCTTCATTATTTGAGTAAAATAAGGAACACTGAGAACTTATAGATGAACTTTAAAAACATCAAACATATGAAAATATTTACTTTGCTTACATATCCAAAGATACCTTTAAGACTTCAAGTCTGAAAATGAAAATTTACTTTCTTTTTTTTCCTTAAAGTAAGCATTCTAATCCCACCCTGGCCGTGTTTTTTTACTCTTGCTCGATTTCTCTTACTTTATTAAAGTCATAACATCTGCCTACTTTGGAGGCAGATTTACTCTAATTCATCAGTCAGGGTGTGGGCTGTGTCCCTTGACTTTACTTTCTTTTTTTTTTTCCTTTTTGTCTTTTTTCGTGTCCGGCAACGGACCGCAACCCTCAGTGTCACGCCCGTACCGGACCGGGACCGGCAACGGGTTCGCAACCCTCGGTGCTGCGCCTGCCCCTCGCTCAGCCAGTGAGCGGGAACCGGTCTGTATGTGGGATCCGAACCCTCAGCAGGAGCGCCACCGCGCTCCCAAGCGGCACACTGTAGCAGTGCGCCACTGGGCCGGCCCTTTACTTTCTTAATATATATTTGAACAGCATTTAATTTATTGGGAAACTTATGATGAAGATGTTAAGTGATATGAGCAAAGAGGACAGTATTAAAGAGTCTGCAGTACAAAAAAAAAGTCTAACTATTGTTGCTCCTTTTTGACTAGCTGTAAGTGCCTTCTTAGGAATCCTTTGTAAAATTTTCAGAATTATTTTCTTTGTATGGGATGAAATACTCTATATTGCTTTATAACGTGTAGATGACTTGTTTCTTATAGAATAGTATAAAAATGTAATACCACTGGAGAAAAGTAGATAGGTGCTGATTCTCAACTGTGAAAGGATGGAGAGGTTGTCCCCCACAATCCCTCAGGATCAGTAATTTTTAACAAAGTATGATATCTGTAGGAAATTGCCAGGGATTCAGGTAACATAGTGTGATTAAAAAGAAAACGGTGTATTGTGTTCTGATCTGAGTCTGTGTTACTATATTTGTCTTTTATTGCCTAATGATTTCTTGTTTTTTAAATGCTGCTGATAAAATTCTTGACATTTGTGGTGGTAGTAGTATTTTTATGTATAATGTATAGGTTGTCTTGATTTGGTTTTTGCTCTGAAGTACTCTAGTGTTTCTTGAACTGGAATTTGAGGGCCTTCTATGGGGATATTAGATTGACTTTGAGGAGTATTTCTCTTAAATACAAATGCCTTTTCATCTAGCAAGCCAAAAATTTATCTTAACAATATTGAATGCTATCACTTTGTGTGTTGGGGGTGCAGAGGGCAGTGAGTAGAATTTTGAGATAATTCTAGAGTTTTTAAGACATACAAGGTATGTGGAGTAGCTCAGATTCAGAACACATGAATTATGTTGCTAATGGAACATTTCACTTTGAGCTAAGTATTTTTTCAATAAAACATGTCCCTTCTGCCTACTTGCTAATGTGAAATTATGAAAGGATGTGTTAAATACATTATGTGCTCAGTTTGAGGAGCAAGTAGGAGTGCTGACCTAATTTGTCTTACTGCTTCCTTGAAGAAGTGTACTTAAAACTGTCATGATAATTCATCATCTGATAAAACTTTGTTTTGACTTTCAAGGCTCCTATAGCCTATAGTTTTATAGCATATCTCTCACGTGCTTCCCAAATGTCTAAAGAATCAAATAAAATAAGGTCTTTTGATACATAATATAAATGCATTTCTTTGTTAAAGTCAGAGTAAAGGCAAAAAAAAAAAAATTCTTCTTAATCTTATTCTTAGAGGGGAATTCTCCCTTTTGATGAAGTATCACTTCTTGAGTGATACTGGCAAACATTGCAAGGAAATATTTCAAAGAAGGGATCGTTTTCTCTGCAGGAGGAAAGAGAAATAGCAAAATTTTATTTATTTCCTCAGTAGGAAAGGCCAGTCTGAATTATTAAGTATTCTGGATCATTTGATTTCTTAACGAATGTAGTTTTATTACTTTCATGATTATTTGGTAACAACAAACAGATTGCCTAAGACTCGGTCTTTTTATTTTAGTCACCTATGAGTAGCACTGTGGAAACCCCAAAAGCATTCTGACTTTTATGTTAAACTTTTATAGATTATGGAAAGATGAATTTCTGCCCCAAACCTTAGGTGAATTTTCACTAATATTTAACTGCAGAGATTTTTCTATTGAACTTTTACTTCTCTGTAGCATTTCTTTCAGTCTTCTAAAGCACAATTTATTTGCCTTTTCCCAAACACCAGTCTTAATAAAACTGTTTATACATTTTGCTGTGTCCATCTTACAATCCCTTGTATCTCTTAAGTACAGATAGTGTTTCCTTTGCCCAACCAGTTGTTATTGAGGTGACTATTTTCTTTTTAAGATGGATGAGACATTTTGCTGTGTGTACGTCATAATGTATTAGAACCTTTTATAATATGGCACATTTTTACATTGGTTCTGATTTTACCATGTGTTGAATATTAGTTAATATTCAGTAATACTCTCTTAAGGTTAGACTTTAATGTGAGTATTGAATCTTGTCTTAAATTGACAGTTTCATTACAGCTTTGTTGTATTTATTTTATGGATCTATAATGCGATCCATAAATGGGAGTTATAGCAAAACAAGGTTATTAAAAATGTATTAGCTTTTCATACTTACGTTATTTTGAGAAAGTTTATTCTTCTGCTTTTTGGCTTTCTCAGTTTTAAGGTATTAGTGGGTTTTTCCACATCATGAATTTGGTTTTAAGTATTAAGTTAAAATTGTAGATTTTTGATAGCTAATAAATACTCAAAATGAGCATGTATAAAGCCAGATTTTCCCAAAACTGGGGCTTGGGGAGTAGGGGTGGGGGTGTGTAGAATTGAGTGTGTCATAATTTATTTTATGTAAAAAATAGATCATGGATAAAAAGTTCCTCACATATTTTGAAGGTCAAAAGAAAATTTGCTTTCATATGATTGCTATCAAATTGAGTTTGAACCATGAGAGAAGACTAATACTTTTGTTTGAACAACTTGTCATTTGAGACTTACCAAACTTAGCAGAATTA